TGGATACAAACCCAGGACTAGTGTCCAGTTTTTAAGATTCTTTTTGAGTTGTTTTTACTGTATTAATATTTCAACATATATCTAGTTTTACCAGCAGTATATTTATGATTTACATGCTATTTTTATCTTATATATGTTTTCATTAGACCTTATTGGTACTGTTTGATCTCCAGTACTATGGTTGTAGAAACTAATGTGCCTAATACTATTGGGAAACTATACATTGCTGGGAAAAGAATCCAATGGATTTCTTATCTAGTGCCCTGGGAAGGAAAGTCTGTTGCTTTGTAATACTGAAGCAAAGCATGAGGAAAAAAAGCAAAATGATTAGAATTAGTATTTTAGAGGCTTAAACAGTTTTGCAGATAGTATAAAGTTCCACTCTTGCAGTAAATAGCACATGACATCATTAATTCCAGCTGCCATCTGCTCCAGCTTTTATTCTGATTCAGGTGCCTGGATAGAGGAGTTCTCTGTGTTATCCTTGGTCCCCACTCTACTCTAACCAGCGGTATGGCCTTTGGAAATCTTTCTGCGTGCTGTTTCCTCAGAAGAGGAAAATGAGGGGTTTTGGATTAGATGATACCTAAGGTGCTTATTCTTCCTCTCCCCTCTGAAACTTTTTTTTAGTGTTTATAAAGTAATAGTGCCATCTTGTGTTTTAACATTTTATGCCTCTGTGATCCACAGTTGTAGGTATGCAATAATATAAATTGGTTCATATTACTTCTGTTATGGTTTCAGTGGGGAGGAAAAATCTTAAATAGGCTTATGTTTTATTAGGAAGATAATACTGCTTTTAATTCAGGTAACTTGGAAATCACTTCAGGTTCATCTAGCATGGCACTTAACAAGCAGTTAGTAAAAGTGTATGACAGTAAGTTTAATTGAAATTTGCCTTCCCATTCATTTCTTTTGCCCTAAGGAGTTAGAGCTTAGGAGTATGAAAATCTTTACCTTTCCCTACTCTTGGTCTACCAAATTCTTTACTGTAATTTACTATTAACATCAAGATTTGTAGAATTTAGTTTAACTGTTTTTATTCTTTTAAATTGAAAATCAGTTTCCTCCCTGAGTGTACAAATCAAACACACAGTAGAGAATTAGAAAGATGCAGAAAAGCACACACATACCAAAATACAAGTTATTTTGGCATTCTGTCATCTAGAGAAAAGCACTAGAAATATTTTTTGTGTATCCTTCTAGTTTTTTTTTTTTAACACTATGTAAGTATAGACTTAATATATATTACCTATATACTTTTCTTTTTTGCCCCCAACCTCATCTCTTGACCTTTTTCTCTGGTACTGTAGCTCTGTGAACTGTTTCTAGCTGTGAAACATATAGGGCTTTCTGGCTTGTGATCCTTACTAGTCCAGCTATCAGAATTTTTTTTCTCTTCCTTCCCTAACCTTCCCATCCCACCTCCTATCTATTCTTCATGTCACAAATCTCCCATTGACCTCACCTCACTCCATCCTTGCATATGCTGCCATACATAAGAGGGAGGATCTCTTAAGACATTTGAATAATGGAAGCACATTGCAGAATGTAATACATGATACCACTTTTGTTAAAAAAATTTCTATGTTTTCTGTGAGTATACCATATTAATTAAAATGCATAGAAAAACAATCTAGAAGGATACACACCAAACCTCTGCACCAAGCACTGGGATGGCAGCTTTTTTAGGGGAGTTTTAGTCTATCTGTAATATTTTAATTTTTTTTAAAGAAAAATGTTTTATCTATTTCCTAAATATGTGTATGTATATATACATACTTTTTTTAAAAAAGCTAGATAAAAGACTGTCTGCCTGTACCCCACTAAACACTCTGGCAGATTAGCACCTCACTGGTGGAGTGGTAAGTTAAGAAGCTTGCATTAGCATGGGCTTAAATACAATAATAACGTGCTTTAAGGTTTAGGACAACTCAGTCTTAAGACAGTATTATAAAATCAGTACGTAAAGTTTTTAGAAACTTGGCATGTAGTTTTATAAATAATGAGATGATCAACGTGGTGATGCTTTTGGGAGAAGGGAGAAAAATGGCAAAAAGTTTTCAGACTCTTATATCTCTGTCCCCTTAATAAATGAGAATTAGCCTAATTATTACTAATTAATTCTCCTATGTTCTTTTCTTTTTAGGAAAAAAAAGCTGCATTGGAAAAGGAGCGAGAAGAAAGGATAGCTGAGGCTGAAATAGAGAACTTATCTGGAGCCAGACATGTAGAAAGTGAAAAACTTGCTCAAATATTGGCAGCTAGACAGTTGGAAATTAAACAGATTCCATCTGATGGCCACTGTATGTATAGAGCCATTGAAGATCAACTGAAAGAACAGGATGAAACTCTTACTGTGGTTGCCTTAAGATGTCAAACTGCTGGATATATGCAAAGCCATGTGGAAGACTTTCTGCCATTTTTAACAAATCCCAATACTGGAGATATGTATACTCCAGGTAATTTATTTTTTTTTACTATGTTTTGCTGTTGCTGTTGGTCGTTGTGGTTTTTAAATAAAGCGCTTCCTGGGACTGAGCATAAAATGAACCCATACAGACCCTAATGAGGAAAAAACACCACAAAATTTAGGCAGAATTATTTTCT